TTTTTTTTTTCACAATGTCGAAAGTTTGGCTTCGGTACATCTTCGTAGCCAATCACATTGTGAATTATATATCCGGTAGCCAATCACATTACGTTGTGTATTCCGAACGCTATAGCCTGTCGATAATCCCGTTCGCAACATTTCCAACTCGTTCTGCACAATGTTTTATCCGCCATTTTGATGAATATTGTCTCTACTAACGAATATGGAACAGAACATGAAGGTTTACGACCAAAATCTGGAACTCATTACTTGTCTGGGTGTTCGGACCAAGGGTATGTTGAATTGTGATGACGAGGAGATCTCACTACAGAGATCAACACGCTTACTACTCGTGAAGCAACGGCAACGATATAGTGATTGGGTTCCAATGATTGAATATCAATACAACTCTTTAGAAAATGCTTATTAATTCCATGGCTATTCAAACATCTGCAATAGATATGTCGAGTTTTAATGTAGATGTGCAAACATATTGTGTTACTATCATATCAAAAGTTAATAAAGCGTCACGTTGTAACCAAATCATGCCTAGTTATATATCTCCGGTTATATCTGACCTTAAAATTATACTGCAGAATCACAAAGGCAGTTACARCTGAAATTTTAAGAGCCACCACATATAAGCTTATCGCAAAAATCACATATATCTTGGCAAGGCTCGGTGGATCAAATCATTTCTTTATTCTGTATCAGTAAGGTTTAAGGCCTAATTTACTAATGATTTCACAATATCATACAAGGGTACGTGTCAACCCTGCATACAGGGTCTAGTTAAAATTGACCTCTTCATCAGTCCAAGAAAAAAATACTTTTACAAAAAAGTCGCCTTTGAAGCCGAATAATTGAATTGAACGACAAAATATATTAAACTATAGCGCTTCTAAAGTATTACACGACATCAATTATGAAAATTATTTGATACAAATGTTATTACTGTTTTGCTAAGAACGGTTGCGAGGAGACTAGCGAAGGTCAAACAGGGCACGGTATGAAAATTCCATGTCGCGGTTCTCGTTTATTTATCACACATTCAGAAATGTGTTGTCCAATATTTAAGGCTTACTTCAAAAAAGTTAGTTATTCACCCTTTTAATAAGTCCCGAGGTATTGTGTTCTCCCCACTTGACGTCAAATTAATTTACTCGAATTCCTTTTGTCGGTAAAAATTTCAAAAGAATAAATTTGACGTCAAGTGCGGAAAACACAATATCTCGGGACTTATTAAAAAGGTGTATAGTAGAGGTGAATTCAATATTCCCCTCTACAAACTATCTGAACTATGCTCCCAGCTAGTTGATAGCCCCCAAACAGCTTGCCCGAACAAATGATAGCAGTTCGCAGTGGTCACTTGTTGATATTGTCGCTCCATAATTAATTATATTTTTACCATTTGAAAGCATGAACAAGCACAGACATTCATGTGTTCTGCAGTTCTGCAGTTGTAGTAAGACTGAGTGACTCCAGCATCAGTTTGGTAAGCAAACCAGTCGTCACTGACAGTTAGTGGTTCTGTCTTGACATTGATATTCATGTTTGCATCTGTAACAACACCTAGAATAAAACAGCTTTTTAGCCACGAACATTCAACATTGTGAGGTTATTTGCTGTGCTGTAAGTGAAAGAATTAGAAAAACAAAGCTCATCATCCCGCGCTATGAGCTTGAACTGGGTTGAGACAAATCGTTGAGCTAATAAACAAAAACTCCCTGCTCTCTGGAAGTTTGAATGCATGTGGCACAGACCGAACATTATCAAGGATTCAAATATCATAAATTATTACAATCAGTCCTTACCTGAGAAAAAAAAACACGATTGAGGGGACTTTACTTCAAGAATTCGGCTGGTGTTAATCACACGTTCGAAGCGGTGTCGTCAAGACCTGGAATCGAACAATCTCCAGACACTAGAACCAAGTCTTCCTCTGTGAAATTTCCTTAGACCACAGGGAGCCCAGGCTGAGCACTTTAGTAATCTATTACAAGTGAAGTAAAATCCAGCACTAGCTTATTACGTGTAGACCAAATTCTAACCCCGTGATTTTTTTACCAAGCATCGATAATTCCGGAATTAAACTCTGACCCTGTTCCAGAGAAAAATCGTTGAAATCGATACCCTGTTCCAGAGTAAAATCGATGAAAATATGTTAATTTATAATTGTGTGCTCTGTTATACATGTTGCCATGTCTTTCTTTAAATCTATGTATATTGTACAAATTAATCCATTTATATTCCTATTTATTTATACGATTCATCATACGGCAGGGTATTCCAACAGGGCGTAGCCCCAGTGATGGGATTCATTGCAGTAACTAATTTTGATCATTAATTCTTGTTGTAGATCATCACAAGAGTCAGATAGCTATTTTTTGACGAGGAGAGCATGGGCGGATAGAGGGGGGTGAATTGGGTGACTAGTCCGACCCCCTTTTCTCGAATGAAATGATAATGAAATGATAATGCAAGGCCATGTGCCAATTACCAGAATAAAAATTGAATATTTCAACTACCGCCCCTCCTGGCGTCATAAAAATGGGATATCCGTGGGCCGCTCCATGCATCCCGAAGAAAATGTCAGCTGAAGCAGCGAGTTCTAGCTGACGTTTTAATGGAAATGCATCTAACTGGGCGCTGGTTATGTTCAGCTGTGAGGAGCAGTTCCTTTCCATTTCACTTATAACATCTTTCTCATTTTCAATTTTTTTGTCAACTGTACCTTCCAAATTCGATCGATGCGATTCTAAATCTATTCAGCACAAACTCCCTGAAAGGTTGTATGATTTCAAGGGATTGAAGATTCTTATCCAATAAGGGACTATTAACTCACGGATATCTCCAAGCCAGGTTTTCAAATGACAACACTGTCTGATACTGTAAAAATGCGATCAACACCTAGCTTGATAAGCCTTTGGAATAAGACACTCCAAAAGGGGTCCAATGGACTTGAAGGATGAGCATCGATAAGAATGATGTTAAGATTCTCCGGTTGTATTCCCATGCGCTGCGCCGTGATAACGAGGTCTAACAGGTCAATAATCGTCCAGTAAACATTAGCATACTCAGCCCTTTCAATCGCCAAGTACTGACCGGCCTGAAATGACGTCTGATTTGATCGAGGAGCTGTAGATAGTAGAGGATTTGCAACTTGATCAAGTCAAGCGAACCAGCCGGCTAGTGCGCTATATACTTTCTAGCTTCATTCAATTTCTCATGACCTTTGTTCGCATCACAGTCACAGTAAAATGTGAAAAATCCTTTCTGTAACTTAAAGAATTCGTCCTCTTCATCTGGACGATCCTGTGCCTTGACTTCAAGAGCTCTGGCGCGGCCAAGCTTTGGTCGTATTGTAATGCCTTGAAGGAGCACTGTTGCATCTGAGCCATACACGCCTTGATGTTCGCAAACTGTAGTTTGTTTGTCGGGTAAACTGAACTTCAAGCCGAATGGACTTGCCAATGCATTGCATATGTAGAGATTGTTGTAGTTGTCAAAGTCTTTTTTTGTGTCGTCATGAGGTTGTTTTAGCAATCAGAAGAAATGTTGAACAGTTTCTTTTGAGTCGCTTGATTAGGCGAAGATCGACCATCTTTTTTTCTCTGGTAGCCCCAAACTGTCAAAAAAGAACAAAGAAAATAAATGTTGCTTCTTTCTAACATATGTTACTATATTCCACTTGTGCAAATATTTTATGTCTTATATTGATTTTTAAACTTTTTTTTCCAAAACAGCCGAACTCACGGTGTAATAA